TTTTTAAACTTTTGCATGGTAGAAACAGAAGCTGCTCTTCATATAATCACAAATAATAACAGTAACAACAGCTTTTTGACAAGTTTAAAGTTTCTTTAAAATACATTAAAAATATTAAAAAATAAACTACAAAAATAATTTCATAAAGTGCAAATTAAAATATAGCAGTATCTGCACCTATAATGTTTTGAACTTTTAAAATACTGCATGATAGAACCAGAAGCTGCTCTTCATATTAGTGACAAACTTTGGCCTTTTTTGACAGGTTACCTTCATTTTTGCCTTCTACTTTTCATTTAAAATAAGTTTCCATTTTCGGCAGGTTTCTAAGGTTCTTCTTCTACATATTAAAAAAAGTTGTTAAACATCTGAGTGGCGCACTACCACTACTAGTGGTGAGAAAGTGTATTGCACCTTTTTCAAAATCAATGTGGTCTCACGGGCCTCTGCGGCCCAAAGTTAAAAACCTTTGTTCTATTGAGGCAGTCAAGGTGGCGCTCGTGGCCCACAACTGGGCCACAGTCCATAGGTTAAAAATCTCTGCTTTAGGGAGCACTATTCTGTGGACCAAAGCCGAGGTGTTTGGAAATGCAGTGCATCTTTCTTTCATAGGTAACAACGTAAAGCTCAGGAGAAACATAGCATCCCAGATTTAGAGCTGTAATTATAAGAATATTAGTTTTCTGGTTGTGTCTTAGTCTACAGCTGCTAACAGAAGCTAAGAAACACTGTTTGTATGTTCTCTGCTGATGATGCACATTTTGGCATGATGTAGTAGCTTCAAATACATTTTTTTCTGAGGATGCTCTAAAAGCTGTTTTACTTCTGTTCTAAATATAGCCGAAACATTTACTACGTCTCACCCTGTGATGGATGTTAACTTGACAAGAAGTTCAGTCATTTGGCCTCGGGCTGCGAGAGAGAAAAATGGTGACTGCGAGGAAAAGGAGGGCAGGGAGGGGAGACAAATTGATGGAGAAAGGGTGTAAAACRGGAACGAAAAGAAAGATAGAGGAGTGGTTTTACATTCGTCTTTCCCCCGTGTCTCTACCTCTGTGTGTTTCATCTGCCCGTTTCGGTTCCCATCTACAGGAATGCATGCAGGGACGAGGCAGGAGGAGGTGATAGACCACCGGCTGACTGACAGAGAGTGGGCTGAGGAGTGGAAGCACCTTGACCATGTAAGAAAAGTAATAACATTTTTATTACTATTCTCTGTTGTTCTCGCTCTGTAAATAATAAGCTGTAAATGTCTTAATAAAGTTTGTTTTAGTGATCAAAACACAGATTAGATATACTAAACTCTGCAATTTGTTGCTTGTTTTCACTTACCATACTTTCTCTACATCAGATTTCATATTCCCTGCCTAGTTGTCAGAATGGCTACTTTATAAAAAAATCAGCACCCAGTGGTCAGAAGGGTTTTTGACCAATCAGCTGACCCACCAGAGTAAACTGAGCTCTTCTTGGGCTCCTAAATGAGAATAAATACCTTTATAAGCACTTAATCAAGTTGGCTTCCAAGCTAAAGATTTGTTGTAAAAATAAATTTTTCTAAAAATAAATGAGTCTTACAAAAACGTAAGCATTATTTTACAGATATGCTCATTTATTCTTCATGTTAGCTTGAAACAATGTACAATTTTTATGCTTTAATTGGGATTCATTTTTCTTCAAATGCAAATAGAACATAATGGAAATGTTTCAAACGTCAGTGTTGTTAATTTAGTTCTTCTAAAGCTGCTGTTTGTAACCGTTCTACTAGAAGAATGTCCTAAAATACTACCTCTACTTTCAGATTTTGCAACTCATTAGCTCTGTTTACGTGTGCAAAATTCTTTAATYGGATTGAAATGTATTTGGATTAAATCATTCAAATGTATCATTTAATGAACTGATTATTAAATGAGTCATAGTATAAATATAAATGTTTTATATGAGTGGGGTTTTTTTTCCACTGGCTGAAGTGAAGAAACACATTGTCTGCTGGAGAAGTGTGATCTGACAAACCTAATCAGTGTTTTATAAGTGAAAATGTTTCTCCTAAATATAAACAAATTCCACAACCCCACTTCCCAATAACAGATGATAGCTTTCTTTTAGTTTTGCTGAATTTGAATGAACCCATTCTTCATTCGTATGTGTAAACTCAGAGCTGTGTCTGCCTCCTCTTCTCCTCCCCCCAGCTGCTGAACTGTATAATGGACATGGTGGAGAAAACCAGGCGCTCGCTGACGGTGCTGCGGAGGTGCCAGGAGGCCGACCGTGAGGAACTCAACTACTGGATCAGACGATACAGCGACGCCGAGGAGCTGAAGAAGGGGGCTGCTAGTGGGCAGTCCAGGCAGCAAAGCCCTGCGGCTCAGGAAAACGCCACAACAGGTGGGAGATCACACGCGCCGCACCAAAGAAACCAACTTTTTTACCCTGAAGAAAACAATTTTAACACCGAAGTGTTGGAAAGATTCAATCCCTCTGAAATTTTTTGCATCAACAATCACAGAAACTACAAATTTAAGCCCCTTGCGTCCATGTTAAACACAAATTTTGTTGTTGGTTTCTGGCGTGTCCTCCTGCAGAAATTCACAGAGAGCTGCTGCATCGACCTGTCTCCGGCTACGTCCCTGAAGAGATCTGGAAGAAAGCTGGTGAGCAGCAGCATCACATGTGTTTATCTCTGCTTCTCTTTAGAATTCAAGGCCATCTTGTTCACTTAGATGGAAATGGATGGAAAGGGGCTTCTGCAAAAACAACAAAGGAGGAGTTAAGAATAAATAAAGAAGTCTCCAAGCTAGAATTACATTCAAGAAATCATACTGTGCCCCCTTTTTTATTTTGTTGACAACTTGACACAATTTTCTCTGGTCAAAATACATCAGGATTATAATACCAAAGAATTAATTTAGTCAGCTTTCCTCAGAGACATTTTCTTTGCAACTTATGGGGGGCATAATGAGACTGTACTCACACATTTCTTTGACAGAGCATAAGTCTCACAACACTTTGAAAAAACTTAACCTGAAAGATCAGAAGCTCAGATTAGAACCTGACAAACCCACTTTATTTAAACACGACATCATTTCCAAACCTATGGTCACATACATAGAGCTACAGCTACAAACAGTAGCTATTCCATCCAAATATCTTCCTCACGTGCCAGTTTTATAAACTCTGAGCTCAAACATTTTGTTTTCAAAATTCCAGAGACAACTATTAAAAAATGTTATTTATGTGGACTACTTTTATAAGACTGTTTTTGTTAAGCCTGCTCCTGTAATGGTGCAGTCGGAATGAAATGAAAAATTGTAAAGTTCCAGCCTTTGGATATAAACAAGCGGGCAATATTAAGTTATATGTTTTATGTAAATCATCCTGGAATTCAGTTTTACTGTAAAATGAAAATAGATCAAACATATTTATAATATAATTTCCATTAGCAGTTAAACAGTTACATTCAAAAAGAAAAAATCTACACTCCATTATATTTTTTTAGTCAAAAGTGACAATTTGATTTCCAAAACATCAGTAAATGCATGGTTAGAGTATCAAAGGGAACATATCAGGCAAAAYACAMTTTTTAACCATTAAATACATTTTATTAAAGTTGTGTGTGAAAATTGCAGAAAAGTTTAATTTATTTTGTCAYGGTGCAGCAAAGATATAATATTCTAAGATACAGTCTCAAAACGAGTTGATCTGAGACACACCTCAGAAAATGGGTGAAAGAGGGGCTTGTGGAGTTATGATAAGGAGGAATTCAGACCAAAGCATTGCAGTTCCACTTTATATAGACCCCATCTGAATGATTTAAATGTGAAAAAACATGATGTCTCCTTTAAGCAGACAATAAAATAAATCTTTATTTAAGATTTGCCTTTAAAAGGAACAGTGCCTAATGTTTTCCACTATTTTTTAATTAAAACGGGGAGCGAAACTAAAACTATCAGTCTGGTGTGCGAGAGTCCAAAACCCACATTCTCTTTGTGGCGTTGTGAACTGTACGGTTCATTACAGTCAGCATTTTCATTAAGTTACAAAATGTTTCAAAATGGTACCGGATGTAATTAGTTTCAGCAAAATTATCCAGCACATTCAAAGAGTTTATTAAGCTCCAGTCATTCGTCTTCGCAGAAAAGARCTCTAAAGACAAGATGACGAAGAGTGCTGTTGGATTTTGACCAAACTTGTTTGAAAATTGTGTCAACTTGTTTAAAAAATGATAAAAAGGCACTGCACTCATCATCCTGGAAAACTGAAAAAAATATTGTCTCCAAATGTTTGAAGAATCCACTTTGTATTCTCCACCAGTGACGGAGTATATGCCTTTTAAACCGGTTGGAGAAAAGAAATTGTCCCCTTGCTTGACCATGCATGATGTGTGTGATACTCAGAACAAGTAATATGCATTTAAATTGAATTGAGTAAGACCATCGGGACTCTGGCTGTTCTCCACTACTCTCCTTCCCCTCTCCAGCTTTGATCGATCTTCCATCTAAAGCATTCGGTGTGTAATCACAATTCAATGCACAAGGCATATATCTCAAGGCACCTGGGTAATTTCCATGACTTCAGTTCAGCGCAGCAGGATAAAGACTGAAATGCACTGGTTTAAAAAATTTGCTCAATCACAGAGAAAAAAAATCTTTGTCTTTAWAGAAGTGCATGTTCCTTCTGATATTGAAAACTAGTAATTCAGCCACTTTATTAGACATCAAGCTGTTTGTATTTCTTGTCTGAAAACATAAAACAGGGCCGACTATTTTCCTGCCTTTTTCTATTCRGTCGCCGAGGAGAAGCTGATTTAAACGTGACCCGGGAAGGATTGCAAAATGGGATTTTTAACACAATAGAGTGCCGCCGTGAATGCGTCTGTTTGAAACGGGCAAAATGTTTACAGTTGGTGATAAATATTCAAGCACCTTGCACGGTGTCCTGCCCACCCCTCCCCACNCCCCCCCAACCACCCACCTTCCCCTCGCCCTGCGTGGGCCTCTGGGAGATCACAGTGGAAATGCATAATTTAAATGTAAATGAGCTGATTTGCATACACAATTAGTCAAGTTACGGGTTTGATGGAAGCAAACAAAAAGAAAACACCTTCCGTTTGCTTTGACGTTCAGTCAGAGCGACGCCGCGTCGAATCCACACGCGAGGTCAAACCAGTCTACAAAACAAAAATAACCCCGCTGCTTCGGCGTGAATGCACAGTTTATGTGGGAATTCCTGAAAATAAATGATTCATTACTAGTTTGGTTAATAAATGAGGTTAGTCTGAAAATAAAAATGCAAACAATGAAGAAATATATCTGATTTTTGTACTTTTGTAGGCATTAGATTTAAGATTTTGTCAAGAGTTATACAGTGAAACAAGCAATTACGTCAAACCTAATAATCTTATAATGAAAATTCCAGAAATTTTCAATTTCAAAAATATGATGAGCTTTGTTTTTCAGTTTTTCAGTCGCCTTACATATTTAGCAGAGAAAACACCTCAAGAAATAAACTATACAAAGCCACAATCTTCAGATAGATAATTATTGCAGGTTTCCCAGGAAATAATTTATTGTTTAAAATGTCACACCGTTATGAAGATGAATCATTGCTTTTGAAAGGGCACCAAATGGTCAAAGTTGTTTATTACCAGGAAAGATGCTACTTTGCATAAGACACATTAAAATCTCAAAGACTGAATGTATTTTCTCTTGTATGAAATGTTAAAAGGAACACTGTAGAGTTTGGAATACAGCTGAACTGTAGCTCTGAGCATTTGAGAAATGGAGAATTTAGCATGTTAAATTTGAAAGAGTACCATAATGGTCAATATATTGCAGATATTTGAGGCCTGACTTCTTCTGGGTCCTCTGTCTTTGCAGAAGAGGCGGTGAACGAAGTGAAGCGGCAGGCCATGTCCGAGCTACAGAAAGCTGTGTCCGAGGCTGAGCGGAAGGCTCATGAGATGATCAGCAGTGAACGGGCCAAGATGGAGCGCACGGTAGCTGAGGCCAAGCGTCAGGCAGCTGAAGATGCACTGTCCATCATCAACCAACAGGAAGACTCCAGCGAGGTAACAAACATTCAYACATCAGCTGATGTGGTGTTAGATCTTAAAACAACAGTCCAGATCTACTGAAGTGGGCTTTGTGAACTTAGCTTACATAACTTTGTGAACAACCTCATTCTGACCAGACTGATGTTGTGATGGTGAGCCCTACTCGCTTCCTATCATATTAAAGGGAGAGGGGAGTAGTATTGTGCAAAATTGATTTTTTTTTTTTTGTTGTTTTTTATCATGTTATGTCATTCCTTCATCAAAAGCATACCCAGAGTGTTGCTTTTACTCGTTCATACATGTTTGATAAATCCTTGAATCTCCCGTAGCCATGTGGAGCTGCATAAACACTTGCTGGTACAAAGCTCCGCCCATTTTCACAAAGCTCCGCATATTTACACCAAACTCCTCCCTGGAGCTYAGTCTGCAGCCGAGCTCCCGCCCCACAGATCACCCCTCCCCCGAATCAATGTTGTAAAAACGTGCTGAAGTGGGAGTGTCTGAAGTGTTAGGAGGTTCTTAAAGAGACAGAAGCCAATTTCAAGGAATATAGATAGGTTATGAGGCAAATTTCATGTTATTTTTGATATATGCAGCCTTTTTAGAACAATTGAAGCACTTGATTGTGGTATGGAATTTAACTATTTAACTATCTCAAATATTTGTTTTTATTATCATTATATTATATACAGCAGTGTTCTCTGGTGCCCCCTTCCCCAGGGAGGGTGGGCACCCAAGTTGGTAACCACTGATACACAGTATATGTTATGTACAGTGTATGGTTATTTACATAAAGTTATATGATTATTTGTAAGCACAAACAGCAGCAGCAGCTAGTTATAATATTTCTGTYGCAGCTTCACCAGGAAAATGATTAAAATAGTGATAAAAGTTCATAAAATAGATTTAGCAAGAACCATAATAAACCTTTTAAGGTTTGTTTGTTTAAAGATAGCAGCAACCCATTTTGTCCTTTGCCACACGTGGACTAGCTGTTAACATAAAATAATTTATTCAAACTAAAATGGTTCAAACAACTATCTGTAATAAATTAGATATGTATATGTGATCCATCCCTTCTGCACAGAACTATCCTTTTAATAAAATTATATATTTTCTATTCTAAACGAGCTTCTGCACTATTTTATAACCATATTAATAATGGCACATAATGTTACATTATCCTTAATATAAAATATTGCTAATTATCCACAGCTTTTTTCTGACTCATGAGATAATGAGACGGGGGAAATAAAAGCAAGGACGCTCAGGCRTTTGCTTCTGTCGGCTTTTTTTTCTTTCTTTGTTCCAGACACAGTGGCCAGAATGGAAAAGAGGGTGTTACTAATTCAGCTGAAAGGAAATAAGAAAAGCAGCTCTCATTTGCTAATGACCATCAGAGACCTTGAGGTTTAATCAGTTAAGTGAGAGGGAAGCATGTCTCACATCTGACATTAATTGCAGGAGTGACGTTTATGAAAGAGACGCGTTTCAAGGGAGAACTTTTAGAGGCTGTTCTCTTGTTTCCTGTGGACGTGCAGYCAACCCTGGTGTGCTCTCCCTGTGGTTTCTAAGATATATGTATATATAGGAGGCCCTAAGCGCAACACGAGATGGATTTTGAGCCATCTGTGGTTTGATTTAAACACAAGCATCATGTGTAAAAGCAGATGCATGTTCCATGATGTGCGTTTTTTTTTTTTTTTTTTTTTTTTTTTTTTTTTTTTTTTTTTTTTTTTTGCTGCACTGTTAGATTACGAGTCCTACAGTTTGATTTATTGCATGTCTCTCTGTGTTCGCTAGAGCTGCTGGAACTGCGGCCGTAAGGCGAGTGAGACGTGTAGTGGCTGCAACACGGCGCGCTACTGCGGCTCCTTCTGCCAACATAAGGACTGGGAGAAGCACCACCACGTCTGCGGTCAGACCCTGCAGGCCCAGCAGCAGCAGCAGTCCGGCCAGCAGCAAGGAGGCGTTCCAGGGTCAGAGACTCCAGCTCCCATCAGCTCCTCGGCCTGCACCCCGAGCAGTGGGACCGGGAGTCCTGCTGCGACCCCGCCCGCCGCTACGCCGAGGTCCTCAACGCCCAGCACCCCGTCCTCTTCTGCCCTCGACGGCACGCCACGCTAAGAGACTCCCACAAAGGCAAGAGCTTACCAGGCGTAACAACCAGCCCTCTGACCCACAAACAGCATGACTGTTTACATTTTGACTTTGCCTTGCAAAATATTCTGAGATGGCACGGCTAGCAGGCAGAGACGGCAACGCTTCTAACGTGCGGAGCAGTCAGAGCAGGATAACGAGGTCCAAAATCAGGTCATATTGACTTGTCATGACTTTAAAGAAACACAAAGATATTCTTTGTTGTTGTTGAATGAATGAATGAATGAATTGAAATATTGACATCCTTTTATTGTTACACTTTCGCTCTTCTTGTTGTATGTTTGTCTTGTACCTGTCGTTAGTAATCTTGTCGTCATTGCAGCTTGTTTTTTTTTTCTTCTGTAAATATGAAAAGACTGATCTGAGATAGCCCTGAACTCCAGGCGAGTATGTTTGACCTCCCCTTTTTCAATGGTTTGGTTTTTCATCCTTAAATTAAGTTTATTTTGCCTTCTATAACCGGGACATAAGACATTTTACATTATAGCAAACCAAGGTAACATTAGCAGAACAATGGATGGAATTAATACTCATCGTAAAAAAAAGATTTGATTTGAGGCTGATGAATAAACAAATTTCCTGCCTTCTGATAGGAGAGGGGATGAGCTGAACCTCTGGCCCGCAGACCGCAATGAAATGGGCAGATGTGCAGCAGATTGCAAGTGGAGCCAGCTGTTCAACTGATGTTATTTCCCCCTCACTTGTCATAATATGCAGGTCAGTGGGCTGTGAAATACAAATCCAACCCTCTGAAGGAAGTAAAAGAAGGACTTTTGGACAAGATACAAATAAAACTTTGCCCGCAGCACACGTGAAGGATGTACTGAAAACAATTTCCCCTCATTCCTTCAAAGAAAAAGCTTGCAAACAAACAGGAAGTGAGGTCATCATCCTGCTTGCAAGACTGTCAAACCGCCGGGACGGCAGCCGCTGGGCAACTCAGAGCTGGAAACCTGCTGTGCGGAGATTCACCCCAAATACTACCCCTCTTTTTTTTTATTCTTCTTATTATTTTTATTCCTTTTCTGTARATGTCATGGTGAAGACTTCTGTCCTGTGGTGTCACTAATGGTTATTTATTGAGTATGTGTTGGACAGTCGTGACAATGCATTGTACCTAAACTCAGTCACATTTCAAAGTCCTTCAATACTCTCTTTTTACAAAAGAGATACAAAACAGAGGTGTTCTTTTCTTTTTCCAAGCTGCTTTTCTATGCTGTGTGTAAGTGGTAAATTCTTTGTAGTTCCATGAGTTTTATTCCCCCACCCCACCTAAAGAAAAGACACAAGCTATATCTCAGAGCTGCTACTTGAGTCTGACCCAGATCTTTTCTGAGAACTAGCATGTTGTGCGGAATGCTAACCTAAATGTTTTGTACAAGGGACGTACATATATGTATTTGCACTGTCACAGGAGTTATTTTGGCATGCTTCTTTTTCAGCATACTCGTGTGTCACTATAGAGCCATAACTCATCAACGTTTTTGGACGTAGTATTAGGTTTATTATTTGGGGAGGGGGGATGGGGGGGGGCATAAACGCACCAAATCCATTTGTTTTTCTACTCCACATGCGAAAAAATAGCACCCATAATGTCCCGTTGTTTTTTGTTTGTTTGTTTGTTTTTGAAAAAGCTGAAGACAGTGCATGCACATTGCTGAACGTTTGTTAAATATTTGTTTTATTTTTAAGAAAAATGTCAAAACAACCAAAAAAAATATACAAAATACAAAAAAAAAAAGTTTTAACAAACTGATTTTCCAAATGCAGAGGTGTAGACTCCGATTGACAGCTTTAACACTGCATAGCACCAGGTAACACACATACATACATACACACACACACACACACACACAAACGCACACAGTATTAATACACAAGTTAGACACGAAAACATCAAAAACAGCCAAAGACTGATACCAAGGACCAAAATCCTGATTTAAACACTTTTTAAAAATGAGGTTTGTCCACTTCGWTTTTTATCCACTTCTTTTTGCAGGTTTGGTTTACATTGTCAAGACCAAAACTAAGTTCAGTGTCACAGTTTTTTTAACTCTTCATAAATATTAAGCAGATAATTTAGATGTTTTGAAGCAAAGTTCTGCCGAAAAGATGTGAAGGAATATTATCTTATCTGCTCTAGATAGCGTTACGAATGACTTAGTAGCTTCATTTTGACTAGATTGACCATTTAACAGACCAAAGTGAACTGCTGCCATCTTAAAAGAACTCCAGTCTGAAAATTTTGATAGCATTTCATGCAAATGCTGTTTCTCTAACTTTGGGCACCGTTGTAATTCAGCATTACACGCTTAAAGAGAAGTGCTAGAGCTAGATGCTGCTGTTGTTTTAAAACATTCCCCTTTGGTCCTGGCCTTCCTTACGTACCCCCATTCAACACTGTCTGCTGCACTCTGCACCGACACAAACCCCACACTCAGAGGTCGGTTCTATTCTGTCGGACTTTGGTTCTATTTTTGCCGGAGTGAATGCAGAGTTAATCTACAAAGATCACCAATAGGAAAATGAACAAGCACATCTGTATTTTCCAAATAATTCACCAAATACAGACTACATTTTGTCGAAATTCTAACTATACTATATGGGCAATTTATTTATCATTTATGGCTATGCATGCACGCAGCGTAAGAAAAACAAGACATGATGATTTTATTCTGAAATCAAAAGTTTCAAAAAGACAGCCGGTGATGTCGTTTCGACTGTTGTTTCGAGTCTGTCAGTGGGTTTATAGAGAACAGTGTTATTTAGCTCTGATTCCTTCTCCAGTAGAATTAATTGTTTTAATCTGACTTCAGTATTTACCACTGGCTTTATTGAGTGATCTGGGATTTCCCTTCTCAAAGCACCTCTGGGCTTCGCAGCGAAGCAGATCGGATGCAGTGTAAATTCGGCGTAGCTGTTAGCTTGCCAGTCTGATCAAAATTCAACCATTTGTTTTAAATTCAAGTTTTTAAAGAGCCATCTACAACAGGTAGGATATCAACTGTTCACGAGCCTCCCACGGAACTCTGCTTCAAAATATCTAAAGTGTTACTTTAACACATAGATAAAGGGTGAATTAAATGTTATGGCATTCATTGCAATGATACATTTTACCTGCAGCAATAATAATGAATGTGACATGACAACTTTTGTAACCATTTTGAATCTGAGGTGCATATCGATCTTATATGTGAATCTCTCATTACACTAATGTCAGAATAAGTGTTCATTCCAGCTTTAAGCCATTGTGTTTTTAAAGTCTGGGCTTTCACACCATTGTTTTTTTATTTATTTATTTATTTATTGTTATTAATTTAGAGAAAATGATGCATTTGTTGTACACCTTCAGTCAATCAAACAAACCTCTCATTTGCAGTAAAGGATCACTTACCCCAACACACACAACGGTTCTTTATCCCCAACACCTTGGTGCTACATAGAAGCGTGTTATTTATAAAAATAAATGTAAAAAAATAAAATATCCTGACCTCAAGGAACAAGCAGAGGCCCACAGAAGTTTGGGGCAGTTTGACTTCCTCACTTCCTCCCTCTTGTCTAATTAAAACACACACCTGTATTCTTGACTTTGAAGGGTTAAATGATCCAAATAGGTGTCTGACACCCTCCTAGCAAACTTCTCAGAAGCTGTCAGAAGACAGCCAAGCTATTTGAACACTAGTTTATTTCAAAGTATACATGTTCCTTACTATCAGGGCAAAATCTGAGTTTGTAAAAAAAAGAACAAAACCAACATTATCAGTCAACAATTCTTAGAAATGTTCTATTTTTTTCCCTACTCTTTCTGTGTTTTGCTACAAATTCCTCGGTGGCAAACAAGTCTGACTCTACCTCCTACAGCACGATAAGAGCATCAGTTGTGGCGCTGATACTGGTCACGTCGAAACCAAATGGGCACAAGAGAACAGGAAAATATTAAATAAAAACCAAAAGTCGAAGCTCATACAGCTGCAAAACCATACCACTACTTGGTAACAATGCAGACCTCATAAAGAAATAAAACATAAATGAAAAGAAACAACAAAAAAATAATAAAAAAGAAAGAAAATAATGTACTTTTTGTTATGTTCCTTTATGCCTGTGGCATTTTTTGATCACATCAAGAGTTTGAACTGTTTGAACAAACATAAAAAAGAGCAAATTTTCAAACATTTTTAGTTCCTATGTTGATACAAGGTAAGATCACAGTTTAAAAAGTTTCTCTTGTTTTTTTTTTTTCTCCCCTCTTTTCTCCTTTTTCCTCTCCGTTGTGAAGATGCGCGGAAGTGCTTGTTGACTTGTCAGCCGGGGCAAATCTTGTACAAATTATTATTTTTTTTAAAGGCAATGAATTTAAGCCTGCCTGTTTACCAAACAGGGAACACTATTTAAATTTCCTAAATCTTAGGAAACTTGGGGTTAAAATGTAGGAGCTAACCATGAACAGCGTATTTGGTCGGAGGGAATGAGTTGAACTTAAGGGTGGGAGGGTTTTTTCTGTTCTCTTGAGAAAATGTAATGTAAAAAAAAAAAGGAGCTCAAATAATTTGAAGTTGTTGTGCAATACTTTATTGAGAAATGAAAAACCACAGGTTAGTGGTAGGCTGACGCTGAGTGGTCTTTTACATCACTTAGAGTCAGTGTCCTCTAGAGAGCTTTCCAGTCTACTATGTCAGAACTGTGGTTTCTTGTTGAATTTATTTCCTTTTGTTTATAATTTTGATTCTTATTTTGGGCTGTAAACTATGGTCTGTCAGTCTGTGAAACTTTGCAGTATAATTCTGGTATTGTTGTTCTCTTTACAGTGTAATAAATATGTTAATTCTTGCCCAGAGACTCGAGACTTCTTTGTGTTATTTGAATAGAAGAAATGTTCTCAAACCATAAATACACTCTAAAAATGAAATGCTGGATTTACTTAACCATGTTATGTTACCTGGTTCCACTTAACTGAGGTGAGTAAATTCAAAGCAACATACTCATGTTCTTTGGTTTAAAAAACTGGTATATTGCTTTGAATTTACTCATCTCAGTTAATTGGAACCAGGTAACACAACATGGTTAAGTAAATCCAACATTTCATTTTTTACAGTGTACATGTTTAACATTTTGTAAAAGAAACTTTTATGGCTGAAGTATTAATAAATGTGGTAACTAACCATTTATTAATGATTAAGAAAGGCCAAATAAGGTGTAGTTATAAAGTATTTCCTACATTTTTATATTCTCCTTGAATTTAAACATTTTTTCTTGCATCACTGACAAGGTAATTAAGATGTGTTTTCTAATAGGTCTAAATTATTACATTTAAAAGAGCAAGGGCTTGTGTTCCGTCTGGAAACATTTTAAAAGATACAAAGTAAATTCTGTACAAATGAGTGTAATATTAGGTTTTTCCTTTCATCTGCTGTTTGACTAAGCACAATATAATTGGTGCAATTGATAATAGTAATGATTGAAAACTGTGTTTAATTTCAAACTTGTATGAGTTACAAATATGTAACATCACTGATTTTTATTTATTTATTTATTTAATGGCTATGGTGCCTAGAGTAGGATTTATCACCCAGTAACCTCGACAACAGGGACAAAACGTAATGTTATGCATATAACTACTGTTCCCTGAAGGAAAGGAACGAGGTACAACATCATGTATGGGAACCACGCCCCTGCGTGTCCTGGCTGAAGCCACCTCTAATCACGCCTTTAGGC